CGAGGCAGTTAGAAAGCGTGTTTTCGGTTGTGTAACGGGTACTTCCATTGAAGAATGTGTCCAGCACCAGAAGCTGCGTTGGTTGGGACATGTTTTACGCATGCCGAACCATCGTTTGCCGAAGAGAGTACTGTTTTTCATGCCCAATTCGGAGTGGCGTAAACAGAGGTGGCCAACCCATGACCTGGCAGAGGAGTATGAAGGAGATCACGAAACGCTTGGGTGCTGTCGGTGCTACTCGCCTTCCAGGACGGGATCCGCGTGATCCCCACTGTGCCTGGTTGGAGACACTACAAGATATAGCTGCCAACCGATGTCAGTGGCGTTCTTGTTATCAGTTTCTGTCCAGATTGTCTGAGTGAATGTCTGGAGGTGTAGGCACCTCGGAATGATTGTGTTAAGCTAGCACTAAGTCCCTCCCCCGTCCACCTTTATTCTTTTCTTTATAATAAGGCTTTCAAATAAGTCATGGTTGTACGGCGGTGAAGCATCGGTGTTGAACACTGACTTCATGCTGTCGATGATGATGATGATGAGGGTAAAGCTTAGAACCGACCTAGAAGTCATCGTTTCAAAATTCTTTTATTACCAATCCCCTTTAAGAAAATGCTTTTTCATACAGAATAGTGCTAGGTTAGCCGAGTTTTAAGGTAGATGATGAAGCAACCAGCAAGTTTTCTTTCGACTCGAAATCATTCGGCTGTAACACCCTTTCTGTGCCTAGCTGCCATACCACCAGAAGGAAGCACGAGGGCTGGGATACTGTCAGGTTGCCCAAGCCTAGACAGGGGAAGTTGAAAGGCAGAGGCCGGGTTCGAACCACGAACCTTCCGGTCAGTAAATTCGCGCTCTAACCACTTGGTCCATCTCGCCCCACTGATCTGATGTGTTAGTTGAAATACTAACATGGCATTTGAGACTTGAATAACCGACACATTTTAGCTAGTTGGGGGCACTGACCCTTCGGCTGGTAAGGAGCAACAAAACTTTTAGCCGCCTCTATAACAATCTTTGCTGAGTTTCCTAATGTAGTTTTCACTAAATTCTCACGTGCACTGGACCACCAAATATGATAGATGTGGCTGTGATATAAATTTTAGGGGAATGATACCTGTTGCACACTTCGCCCGACTCGTACTTTGTGTTCTCACAGGGGCGTTACTGGTGACGAGGATTTCGTTGACAAGCCCGAACGAACAATCGTACGCGTCTTTCGGATGAAAGACCTAGGAACTACACATGCAACACGGCCTGAAAATGTGAACCGCTCCTGTGACCGTATTTGGGTTTTTAGGACACAAGAAAGAGTCGCGGTTGACAAACTGACCAAGTCATTTTAAAAAAGGCGTTGAAAGTCCTATCAAGAAGCATATGGGCAATACATATGGCGTGACTTCTCGTAAAAGTGTGGCAATGGATACGATGATGGGCTATTTCACAAAACTTCATGCCATTTGTGACTTCCGCCCGGACCAAGAACAAAACGTACGCTGTTATGCATCATCCGCGGATGTACAAGATCACTAGTTCTTTAAAGTCGTTTGTTTCTAAAATAACTCAGCAGCCAATGGACAAACAAGCGAATGATGGACAGACTTTCTTACCACCTTCGTGACAACGCGTCATATGCTCACACCATTTTATTGACATATTGAGACTAAAAACCCACATACTGTCATCTACTGTCGATAAAATGGAATGTTTCTATGACATTTGCCACCTAACAGGTGATTGGGTTATTTCGCTGTTTCATTTTTACGACAATGTGGTGGAGAAACTCAAGATTCATGTTTTTCGATAGTCTGGGCGTATTAGCCTCAGGAGGCTGCCATGTGAATCAACCGAATGACTCTCAGCTAAATCCCTTGCGCAAATCCAATTGATTTTCAGAGTCCAAGTTAGGTTCAACACTAGTTGCCAAAAGTAATACATTACTGGATTGAATCCTCCGTTTAGGATGTTCTTTTCAGCCTCCTCCCGATTACTGAGTTCTACCTGAACAATCTACTATGATATTCTGAACAGCGTACGAACAGACGTATGGGGAGGCTTCGTGAAACACATCATCATATGATGGATGCGTAACTAGTTTGGTCGATAAATAATTACCATTTGCTAGCTCTGAGGCGTAACATAGTGGATTGAACCATTAGTCAGAAGCTCCGGAATTCAAAGTTGCCCATGAGTGTCTTCATAGTGTGGATCCTTGACACTCCTAAATCCAAATGGAATGGAAAAGACGAAAAGCGTCTTCATCAAGAAAAGGCGGCTAAGGCCAATCTCCGATGTTCATTATATTGACTTGAGGGGATCTATATCCGAATTCTGGATACCGTTCGCACAAAAAAGTCGAATGAACGCACTTGATTGTCAGTCTGCAAACAAAGAATCGAATGATGACCTCCAAAAAACACTGTGCATTAACCAATCAAGCTCAGTGCACAAAAATCGACTTCTAATAAGCCTAAAGGCACAATACAGGATGTCAACAAGGTATGAATTGGAGACCGTCGAACCACAAGATCCCTAATACATAGAAAGGAGGTAGAACGGAATAAGCTGCAAGGTATAAAAATCGAAACACGCCAAGTAGAACAGCAATGAGCGATTGCACATGATGCAGATGCGGAGTCGTAGGTGATGAGGTTTCAAAATCAGGGAGGGAAGCGTTGATTATCGAAAAGCAATGTCGCATTCAATGAAGACAAATAGGAATCAGATCACAAAAGATAAGCGTATGTCGTGGGTTAAAAGATGAAGGTAATGTCGGCTGAGAAACGCAGTGCTATTGTAATCCAAACAATTAAAACGCCGATGATGAAAGTCAGTCAAAAGATAGTTCCACGGTCAAAACGGATTCCGTAAGACGTCATAAGGATACGGCTGACTGAAAATGGAACTCAAGCCACAAGTTCCACGTAGTTAGCGGGAAAGAGGCCTTGCCGACCATCAGCTGAGACGCCCAGCCACCAACCTTCATCTATTTGTTGAATGTGGAAAATCTGATCCCCTTCTGTGAAGGATAGTTCATCCTCCTCACCTGTCAAAGTGGGTAAAGCAATGACACATTTCAATAAATCAGGAAAAACAGAGAGAATGGATGGACGTTCGTTATGCCACGGTCGGGGAAATAAACTAAATAAACAGACGAACTGTGACACAAAGGCCCATAAAACATGTATTTGGGTGTTTCCCGAAGTGTCACTGTCCCATTTCAATTCAGCAGTGCTGTGAAGACAGGGTAGATAAAGTACAGTACTAGTGTTCGAAAAGACAAACGTTAACATCTCATGCATTACAAATAAGTAGCCGAAGAAGCGCGGAAGACGATGGTTAAGAACAACGATTAGGGGAAATCAAGTGTGTATGGGAATTTTAAGGGAGACTATTATGTACCGGCATGGAGATGAAGGGTGGTATGGTGTTAGCCAAACGACTTTGATAACCGTCATGCATTGTTACATATCAGCAATGGATCTACACACATGCTACCACAAGAATCCGTGGAAAATGGTGACATCCTACCACAGGTTATACCAAACCTGTTAGGAAGAAAAAATTACCCTACGTAGGGTGTTGAGCGCATAGTAATAAATTGGCAAACCGTACTAGTTCCGTCATCAATTTGCATCCAAATTCATGTGGAAAGATGTATCCGACCCGGGATTACATTCATTATGACTCAAAAGTGGCCAATATTGGGAGAACCGAGAAATCGGCGTTTGTCAAAACTGAGTGACCGACCTACTTTGGGACAAATTCAAGAAAGTCCGAATAAAAAACAATAGCGCAGCGAAGGTAGATTCCTAAAGGTGACTGCCAAGAAGGAAGTTGCGTGATTCACTTAACTCGCAGTAGAATTAATGCCGTCGGTGAAAAAGACGGACAAACTGTCAGGTGAAATTCGAAAAACCATGCATATTGGAAATAAAACATTGGGTATGGAAAGTATGGCTGGAGCAGAGCTGGATTCAGAGCGAAAATACATTCACTCTCGGAGAAAAGGTTATTTAGCGTAATGTGGGCAATCAAATCGGCGAATAAAACTGTGTTCCGAAACTTGGGAATTGCAGGATGCGATGCTGGACTGCTTGCTAATTTCGACCATAGTTGTGGTCAAAGCTGGCAGTATTGCTTGCTAGAGATGAAGAAAAATGTACATGACGAAAAAGCAATTCGGCGGTATTGTTTAGTTACTGAGAAGAACATGCATTCAATCTAGAAAATGACGCCAATCTGCGTTATTAAACTGATAAGCACTAAGCAGCGGATTTAGTATCACTGGAGATCAGCGGCAGCGCGCAAAATACACAAATACATGTGAAGATTCAAACCCATGACTTTCGTTTATTGCCACGGCATGCTCAGCAGCATTGTAATCAACCGGCATGTATACAGAATATAACACCACTAAATTTTGATCACCCAAGCAAGATTATGTTCTGGTAGTAACGGTGTTCTCGAACGACGTCCCAGACAGAAGGCTCATGCGATTTGTGAGCGGATTATTTGTAATCCGTAGATTCCTCACCTGACACGCAAGCAAACTAGAAGCAAAAAGCGCACACACTTCGAGCCACATGAGTATCACTCTGTAAACCCGACAGTAAGGATGGTTACGTCTCGCATGCACAGTCACGTGCATCGAAACAAAACATGGTGGGTAATATTTCAAAGATGTTGTAAAGTACGCTGTAAACAAGTGGACGAAATTTTTCGAAGCAACGGATAGCAGCCCCATTCATCATTTGACGAGATGTACAGCGCCGGCCAGTCAAACGGCCTACGAATTGAACAAAGTCACTGGTACCAGAGCAACCAGTCTGGATTGGATTGTCTGCATCTTACACTTTGCAAATACGGTGGCGGAAGCTTCCGAACGAACCGTATAACTTTTATGCAGACCACATGAAACGCGACAGAGTAGACATTGGATGAAGCACATCGATGGTAATCCCAGTGTCTAAAAAAGAATAGCAGGACTGTATCCGGAGAACAACTGCAGCGTCAGCTTGCTATCGTTATAGACTGCTCTCGGGCATTCTCTTCCTCGATCCCCCAGGAGGTCAGAATTGTGAGCATCCAGCTGTACACCCGCGGATATACTGATATACACAGACGGCGTCGTCATAACAAAGAGTGGTCTGTAAATAGGGGTGACTACGAAGCTGAGGACGTCAAGTCGGCATGACGGAACACACAATCACTACGAAAACGACGGAAGCCTCTGATGTCTATGGCACTGTCCTTTAGTGAGGCAAAAGCGGATGCATACTCTGCGACAGTGCGATTCATGTTGTCCCGAGCGGACACGTGCTCTTTGTTGGAAGACCCATTTCGGTGCCTCAGAATCTGGAAAAGTGTCTGATGGGTTCAAGTCCAGTTCAATTATAGGAATAACTTTAAGAACGGAAGAGAACAGAGTGATTACTGACCATCAGAAACAGACAACGAATGGAACACATAGGACAGTGGTCGGTCAAAAATGTTCAGTATCACTCAAGCGAATCAGATAAAATACACGTAAATTTCTGTTTGAAAGTCTGACCCGGGCGGTATTGGTCGATAGACTTATGGTGCCTAAATTAGCGACGCTGGATGGTCCATAAAAGTTCAGTCAAATGACAACTAACGGTTAACGATGGCGGACAACTTCTGCATCACTCTTCACTGTAAACTGCACATCCTGAACAACAACAGCAACATACGGTAAAGTTGATCGAATCACGTTTAAAAATCTAAGCGGACTGAAAAGCGCCTTCTACCTCTAAACGAAAATTGCCGTCGATGATTCAGTGGCACTGAGAACCAAGAGAAAGGGATGAATACCAACCGCACCGTACGTTTTCTGCACTGGATTAATGATACTCAATTTGCATCCAGATGTTTTAACACTCGATGATGGAGATTATTACCGGAAAATTCCGAGGACATGCAGTGACTACTGGTAGAAGACAGACATGCAATAATAAACAGCGGGATGTGCTGACCGTCTCTACCAAACTGATTCTATACATTTGAACGACTCATGACCGTCTCTATGAATCCAAACTGATTCTATACATTTGAACGACTCTTATCTGCAGACATCAATGCGCGACGGTCCAAAACCTTAATCACCATCACCACCACTTGAAGTTGTCCCAGTACCACTTTCATCCATCTGATTTCAACATACCCCGAATATTTTCCCAGAGATCTATGAAGTTCTCATTCTAACCCCTATCTTTCTATCTCCTAATCTAGCGATTTTCGAAGTTTAGTGTTGCACGCAATTTACAAACTTTCAGCCGTTCGATTTCCTCACTTCGGCTACGCTTTTCGCTATGAGCCTATAGAACTACGGCGTTTGATGTATCCTCACCAACCAATTGGCAAAGACTATGCTCTTACTTTGGAGAATTATAACACTAAGCCGGATACATTCACAGGAAGGTTGTTTGTTCTATCACTATCGCTGTCATATTAAAAGGTTCCGTGCCAATGATAACTCAGTTAAGGCCGTGCCTGGTAAACAGGAATCTAAGATGACAATCATCAATGGTAAATGTGTATTCTTCATGAACACAGACTTCCAATCTACGCTGAAAAAGTTTATACGCACACTATAAGAAAGCCCTAGGCAGTACTTCAGGGATGTAGAACGTCTGCACAGATGCCATCATCTACCATCCCACCGCGAAATGGTAACCAGTACGGATTGTGATGGTTGACCAGGATTATTCTCCCCACAAAAAGTCACCTTAGGGCATGACGTCAGTTCTCCGACAGGTTGTCTATTGTTTATTCTACAGACGACTGTTGTCTAGACGCTGATACCGCCGAACAAACAGAGGAACCCACTACTGTTGCAACACTGAACATATCTCGAAAGATACTTAATATGCAGTGCACGACGCCCGAGTATAAGACATGAATCCGGCCTATTCACATCCCCATCACTTTAGTTTGAACAGTCTTTCTCCTCTCCTGGTGAATCCTCACCAAAGTTGCAAGCACTGGACTTGATTTTCACTTTCACTGAAATTCCAAATCATTGATAATAAACAGCCAAGCGCGAAAGCTCAGTAATTCAAATAGAAAGCCACAATGCGGAAGATCAATGGGATAAGCTCAAATGTGAGAAAAAATGGAGTACAGGTATGAGGATTACCAATAAATTAAATAAATAAATAAATAAATAAATAAATAAATAAATAAATAAATAAATAAATAAATAAATAAATAAATAAATAAATAAATAAATAAATAAATAAATAAATAAATAAATAAATAAATAAATAAATAAATAAATAAATAAATAAATAAGTCGTACAAACAAACAGCCACAAGACCATGATCAGATTCAGATGTTACGGGTGCAGTAGGGGTCTCGACAACAGAAGCAGCGGTAGCAAGTGGTTGGGATGCATGAGCTGACGGTTCATCAGATTTCGCAGCAGCCATTGTCTCCGGTAAACTTGGTTGCGAAGACGGGGGAATCTATAAATAAGCGCGCTGAAGAGTTTGAATCATTCTAATCACAGAAGCCAAATAATTGAAGTTGCACTTCCTAACTTTTGGAAGTTGTAAATGATGTACCAATCAGAGCAGCAAAAAGTTGAATAAGTGACACAAGCAGCTTGAAATAGACATTTTCAGTCAAGAGGTTAGGGAGCAAATGACCCGCGCATACAGGCTGAAAAGAACGTACGGAGCTCGGGGTGACAGCCATTGGTCTGTTTCAAGTACGTCTCCGGATGGAAGGTCAGTGTATAGTAATCAGACGTCTAAGTCCGCTCTGTAGCCCCATTAACCAGTGAATATCACCAAATGCCCACAAGTTCCAGTGCACTCAATCAAACTTGGGAAAACAAGGCTTGTTGTCAGCGTTGACATCAGACACGTCCAGGAAACACAACTCGGCAACAATTCTGAGCTGTGAGCTAATGACCCATATATATGATCCAATATACAGGATTACGAACAACACCGAAATGCTGTACGCATAAGATCTGTCTAGGACCAATCAGTCTGAGAAACAGATTGCTAATTTAGAGTAAAATGTTGTCCAAAAAATTAACAGCACTGAAGTTTAAGTCAGACTCTAAGGTGAATCTAGGCATTCGAATACTTAGTGATGTTATTCGTTGCCAAGACTAGACTAATGGGCAGGTTGGCTGAACGAGACAACTCAGTGGTTCACATCTTTGGCATCATCCAGAACTGACTTCTGGTCTGTCTCATGAAGTGGATAGACTGACCTACTTGAATTTTCAATTATTATCAATATTAATCCTTCGGTGCCTAGCTGACATTCCACCTGAAGGAAGGATAAAGCTGAGATACTGTCGGGTTGCCCAAATCAGGATGCTGAGGTTGGATTTAAACCACGGACCTTCCGCGGATTAACAGCTGAGCTATCTCGAGCCCAGTATACCTCGACAGATGCTGAGGTATGCACCCCGATAAAGCCCAGTCCCTTCATAACGGAAAATGTACTGATAACAGAATCATTAGTCGGGTTACCGTGTAAAACAGACAAAAATCAGCTTGAGATGGCTTCAAACAGTTTACACGACCCTGTATGCCCGTGCCTATGTAGGGCGATCTCGGGTTGTCTCCTGATTTTTATGAAGCATTGAATTTGCCAACTGCGTTGTTATATCTAACAGGTGATAAATTACCGGCGATCGTGTCCTCGCAACTAATGCATTTCTCAGCTTCATCCTATTGAGAACTCATGAAATACAACAGGAGAGTATCTGCAAAAAAGCGCGATGTCCACAGTGCGGCATTGGAACAAAAGTAGAAAACGCCTAAACACTGTGAAGTACAGCAGGGTGTGTGATACAGGTTTCGTGAAATCTCCAGGAAAGGACCTCACAACCACAGGACACCATAAGACGGTCGTAAACTTTTGTCACATAGGGACGTCGACAGTCGACTATCGAATGATTTCCTTCGGTGCAAATATCACCTATGCTATCCGCAAAACAGAATTATTTGCAAAACCGCAGTGTACACACCGTTCGACAGACGAACGGACATCATTTCGGCAGCATAGATGCCGAAGATGGACAAAAGTTGTCCTGACTGCCGATTCGAGAAGTGATCGTATCTTAAGCTATTCAGCGGAAACTCTTACTGCTGCACAGGTGAATGATTTACCTAACACTTCGATTGCCAGGCCGCAGAGGGTGAAATGTAGAGGTGATCTAAACCATTATTTGAGCAGCACTTCACACAACTCGCGTGAGAAGCATACACTGAATGCTAAACGGCAATAAAAAATTTCAACCAAGGAGATGCGGATGCCGCCGGACCATTCTGATCCCTGAGGATTCAGAAGCAGACAGGAAAGTTTCAAGCAACAGACCAGCAATGAAGATGAAGAGAAATACTTAGATAGTAGTAAACCCTGGTCTTCCACCAATGGAATCGATAAACTCGAACGAACGTTTGCCGCTGACCCCTAGGCGCCCACAGGGGTTGTGTACAGTGCAAGACCAAAATGCTGATCACCTACACAGTTTCTGGAGAGCGATACAAGCAAAGGTGGTCTCAAATCAAATAAAATCTTGATTGTCAGTCGCTGAAAATAGTCGTTTTGCCCAAATCCTTGCCGTGAAATGAAGATGTGGGCACACATCTTTGAGTAAGACAAAACTCAGCTTCATCGTGATGAATGTAGGACTCTCGGGAGTCGATCAATTTGTGAACAATGTCAGAGCGCATCTTGGATAAAATGGTCACAGGGCTGATATGACGATGGCTTTCGCACGATGATTTTGCGCATCCTATGATGATTAGAATCACAATCGAAGCGCACATATTCTGTTTTCCTTCCAGATAATATAGTGGGGTCATCAGACTGCTTAAAACTTCAGCACCTTCGAAAAGTGCAGGATACCAAACTTGCGGATCAAGTGTCTCGTCCAGTTGAAGGATTTCAGTTGCTGACATGGACGTTCTTCTGAAAAGTGTTTCGCTGATGAACGTCACCTGACCGTTCGGCCAAGTAAGAAAAAATAGGGTAAGGTTGTTTTCTCACGTTAACGCCCTCCTTCTCTTCAGCGTTCGCGATTTGTTAGCCCGCTATGACCTTTTGGGCTCGCGATTACTCAGTAATAAGAAGATTCATGTGTAACACCGTACGTGGTGCGATGTGCCCAAATAGGGAAGTGCAATGAGACGGCAGAACGACGAATAATAACAAGACTGAGTGGAGCACCTGCTAGACCCGGTCGCAGCTTCGTGCACGTACCCATGGCTGACAAGATGCGTACGTAAACATTTCTACAGAACTAACAAGTAAGTTCCAGTTATTTTGTTTTGGCTAATTTTGACGATGCTTTCAGAGTCGAGTGTCACAGGGAGTAAATTTAGAACCAAGGATGGCAGCAAACTTTCATCACTACAGCACACAAATTACATGACCGAAAGCAGACAAAGGGGACATCACAGTTGGTACACGCAAATTTGATGTATGGAAATCCGGAATGGTCTCCAACCTTACCAAAGAAATCAAAATTACGCGGATACCAATCTAAGAACTAGGGGAAAGCACTTATGTAGTAGTAACGAATAGATGGAAAGGAGGAGAAAACAGGCAGATACAGATTTCACCCCATCTACTTTTTACGCCTAGTATCCTGCGTACTGGGTGAATTTGCATGATTGTCTTAGAAATACTCGATGAAGAACAGGTAAGCTAAGAGAACCTACGCATTTGGGTTGTTCACCTAGCCGAGTGTGACAATAACCTTTCCATAAAAATCCGCTTCAATGGTACAATGATCAAATATGATGGGAAATCCCTGGCCCGATTGCGATTAATTCGAGGGCGATGCGTTACCGACAGGATGCAGAATATTAAGCAGTCTGTGTAAATATGACCAAATCTTCAGAAACCATATGACAGTTCGCCATAATCAGCCTTATCTGCTCGAATAATCATTCAGGAGAAATGAAAAATCCGATGTGACGATCGCAGACAGAAAATGTTACGGTTGGTGTAACCTTTTGTTGATGCGGTCACGCGAAGTCTTTGTGCAATGGAGGCTATTAGAGATTCGGGTTAGAAATTACGGGGGTGGAAGACTAAATATTTGAAGACCAGAGCCTATATCACTCACAGTTGGAGCAGTTGTTCCATTAGTGATCACCTCGTTGGATCGGTTGAGTCGAGCAGCTCGAATTTCGGCTTCAGCGTCGGTACGTTGGTATCCGTTGCCCTGGAAAATGAAAATATTGATATGAGGAAAGACTGCAAAAATGATTGAAAGACGGATAAAAAAGTTTAGTAGAGCTACACGTACCGTGTTGCTGGGTGGTTCTTGTGCCTTTGCGCGCGCCGCTGCTTCCTTCGCAGCCAAAATTTCGGATCTTGGATCAGCCCGTTGCCAATTTGTTCCCTGTATTAAAAAAAAATCACGTCCTTTTGACCTGTTCGACAAAATTGCCCTAAACATAAATTCGCAATCCTGAAAATGTTTCCGCAGATGAGTAGCGGAAGTTGGAGCACAGTACCGCAAAACAGAGGACCTATGGCGAATATGTCCTCTCAAAAGATGTGAAAATAGACTAGGATAATTGGAAAGAATAGCATCTCGAAGGGCCTCCTTCAGACCTTCCTGTGTCTGTAATCTTCCGTAAGGTTTCGTGAGATGCGCAATGCCGACGAATAAAGGAACCGCACAGTAGTTACCGGTTGTTCGGCGTAGATTCGCTTCACTTACTAGACGGAATTTCCACTGAAAACATCTGCTGGTAACCAAGGCTCCAAATGATCAAATGATTTGAATATGTAGGCATCAAAATCAGTCTACAGCGAAAAACATCGGGAACGACTGCTTCAAATGAGTGGACCTTGTAACGTTCCCACCAGGCATTTATCCGTGAATAAAAACGTGAATTTCTGCGTCATCATTGTTCCTGCTGTAATTTTAAGAGAGGAACTGTGCAGCTGATCAACAGTGATGTGAGTGTGAGCCAACCTACAATCACAGGAAAAGAAAGCTGAAAATGTTCTTCAAATCCCATCGTTATTTTAGATGATGCAACATTTCGAAGGACAATTTAGCTGACATCACACAACCAACATGAGGATCTATACATCGCAGGCCCGACACTGCGATAACAGGAAGACATGAAACCACCGTCAACCCAGCATTCAAAAAAGGGTCAGAACTGAAGTTTAGTCCCGTCGCCTGGGAGATGCTCCCACGAAAACTTGTCATCACTGACAACAAGAGTCGGGTTCCACTCGTATTGTGAATGCCTTGACCACAAGTGTGACCTACGACAACTTTCCATACACGGACAAACATAAGGCAGACTAATGCTGCCTTCTCTGACCTATAAACAACAGTCCACCCGGTCACTCGGACTGCTTTGCGTCTATGGTTCTACTTCAATGGTGTTCCAAACATCTACACTACGCTTCTCTCCTTACAATCTACAAGCCGCAGGAAGTCAGCATCTGCGGCGAATTTAGCAACAAAGATGGCGTTCCTCGGGGATGAATTATCGCCTTCGTTATTCAGATTTGCGACCGAATTAACCACTGAACAAAGCTATACCTGTCATCTCCCGTATGAACTCCGTCCCTGTAAACTAAATTTGAGATTCCACCGGACAAAACGATACACCAAATAATCTCAGTAATGCATTCATGTGGTTCGGCAAGAGCTCTGCACCTTTAAAGCTCAGAGGGCTATTGAAAGACCGGGAAGCAGAAACTCTTTGCGACATACGAGGCGGTGGATAGTTGCATCACACAGATGTCAACACTGATGACGAAAAGAATGCCAAGATAGCTACAGCCAGTTTACTTTTCTTCAAATTAGGCATATTTGGAGTCGACGCGACAGTGGCCTGTTGGAAATACGAAAAACCGAATAAAATGGCCTTAAATGAGGTAACGCATGTTATCTGCGAGGCTGAGGTCCACAGATAAACCACATCAAAATGCTGATGTCACTAGTTTTGCCTTATAAAAAACTTGTCGGGTTGGATTATTCCGACAGTGGGTTATCACCGAACGTATAAGTAGACAGTTCATCAAGAAAATAATTCTATCTCCCCGATATCCACACAAACCAACCTCAAAGCAGGTCGAAGAACACCGTAAATCAGGGAATAACTTGAGTCAAAATTTAACATCATCATAATTTACAAGGGTATAACTCCAAAGCGAAAGGTGTTGAAAAATATAAACGCAGTGCGTATTACAAAAGCAAACATCAAGGTGCGTGAAACCTGCTTATGACGGGGTGTTTCAAACGATGGAATGAAAGATTGGACACAATCAATACACATAAACACACGCCAGTCTGTTGGTGCGATTTTGTGAACAAGTAAGATCGGGAAAAACTGCTCACCTACTGTTGAAGAGGGCGAATTAAGGAGACTCGAGGGTTAGTAACTAGGAGTTTTTCTGCATGCAAAAGCTCCAGAAGGATCAACTGCAGCACAATTCAGCGCAAGAGGTGTCAAAGTCTCAAGCATACAAATACAGATCTGTCACCACAAGTCTAAGAATGAATGCCTAGTCTATCAAAGTGATCCAGAAATTGAAGTTTTAGAGCAAAGACTGAATTAAATAGTCCGGGATATTTAAATTCATATGATGACATCTTTAGTTTTCTACTGAGATATATCACCCGCAAGAAATAACAAAACGTGTCTGCTGGATGTGAACTCTACTGGAAATTACCACTTAAGAGGGAAATAACTCCGCTGCACTATTGAGGAGTATCGGTAACTCAGGTAGCGTAGGTGATCGCTGGTTTGTTTACAGAGTCCCACTGACGCATTGATTAGTATACTTGAACATAATGCAACAGAGCGAATTAACGGATTACTCAGTGACGTTAATTAACAGACTATTTGATGCACCATGGCGCACTGACAACTTACCGAACCCAACGCACAACACAGGATAGTCGCTAATCCGACAATTCGGGACTAACGAAAGATTAACTGAGACAGTCTGAACGGGGTAGCTCCTAATAGATGGATGGGACGAAACAAGCACTGTTTCCCAACAACCCAATTATCGAAAAAGTGCAACCACCACATAGACCGAATTGACATCATGGCCATAAACTGTTTCGAATGGTGGTGTTTTTCCACACTTCATGAGAACGCGGTCAGAACTGTTTACGAGCAGTGCATGGTGGAATATAATTTTTTGAATCGGATCAAAGTAGACGTTTTGGAACGACGTGCCCGTACACGATTCCATCGCAGCGGCAGCGAATCTGGCGTCCAAAATCAGACTAGCCGCAAGCATTCTGTTGTAGAATATACAGGAACCTGAGATGATTGTAGTCACCCTCGAAACCGCGAAAAAAGTACGACTTTGTTAGGCGGAATTAGAGCTAAAAGTGGTCTGTGTCGTGGATGCTAAGCGAAGTTGTCAAAAAATGTGGTACTTATTGGGTAGGTAGTAGTGCGGTTGTGATGTAGATTTGTAACACCACAAACAAAGTGAAACGGGGGGAACGACGATTACAAGTGGATTAGTGGTAAGTAAACGTTTTCGGTAACCATCCACCGATCACTACGCATAAAAGTGCAAACTAGGATAAGTTGTCAGTCCATACAAACGATCAGCCTAAGAACCAATGGCAAAACTAGCTTAGGCACAACGTCATCCGCTTTGAGGAGGCGTTCAGGTATACGCCGAATGTGTGGTGTGCACCTACTTCTTCTAAAAGGAGAAAGGGGTTTTTCGAACTGATGATGAACTGATGGTTAGGATATACGATTTTACTACCTTTGGCTGACTAGGACCTTTTATATTGTTTTGAAGGCGAAATTTACATCTACTTAGTGCTTGGTTCCGACCAAGTGGGCCAAAATGGCGATTGAAACACTCCTCGTCAAGGGTTCTCCAAGTCAGCGCAGATAATGTTCCAGAACCTGTATTGGAGCATGGATTGGCCTCCCACAAGACGAGGTAAAATGTGGCTTTCGAAATAAGATATCTTCCTCGCGTAGCACCTAGCAGTGCCCGTTGAAGCGTGTGTACACCCTTTCGCTGTGGTCTTCCTTGAAAAAGGGATCCGTTTCTGCTCAACAGTTTAGTGAACATCCTAGTTTGTCAGCCATGTTCCTCTGGGTGAGACCTGATTATCATGTTGGCAGCAAACCTGAATTCACTTTCTATAGTGTTTTTGCGATCATTAATAAAGAACTAGTAAAAAGTGCACACCAGACTAGCCCATAAATTAACCAGAAGCGTGCCACGTGATGCTGGGCTAACTAACAAGTTGGCCAGCTTGATGAAGCCGTGAGATAAGGTGTTAACTATTGGTCTCGGTTCGCATTCGGACCCGGCTGTTCGAAGGACGGCTGGTTTTCTGGAAAGACGTCTACAGCTTACAGAAACTGAAATAAGTGAACCATACGGGCTTTATTGTATGCACCATATACGCAACGCCAGTGGAATCGTGAAGACGTTATGGTAGACCAATACCTGCATTTCGGTACTCTTTTTGAACACTCTAACAAGGGTTCAAACAGGAATGAATCGCAGGAGTTCGTCCTACAGAAAAATGCTTCAAAGTGGTTTTTGATATACTGAGCTCTTGAACACGAAGCTATACGTACGCCAGCATAGAAGGGGTAGACCGAGAAGAAAGCGAACACTACAGAAACAGAGCAACATATTCGCAACGAGCACGACGCTTACTTCAGATGTCTGTGGATTCAAGTTAAACGAGCATTCATCAAACAGTTAGTGCGGTAATAATTCATAGAAATTCACAGGCAGTACAACGTGTTGACCTGCAAGTATTCAGAACCATACACATTAGCTTCCGTCACTTAAATATCGACAGGTTAGCTAACAGAGTGGCCAGAATAACTGTGGATACTGCTGCTAGATGCCGATCATCCTCACAAGTAGTACATTCATGTCATGTAAACCTGACAACTTGCAAGAAGACAAAAAAAGGTTACACAAAATAAACCCCGTAACAAGTTGGAGACAAAGTTCCAAAAACTCTATCCTATACTGATAACGGGGATTGCCAAATAGCACACGGAAGCCCACGGTTACGGTTTCGAGTTTGTACAAATTAGTCAAGCGATTAGCTATTCACAGTTACTTACAATGCGTCTCCATGATATCGGTTTGTCTGTCATGGGCAGAGTATACACTGCCATGGTGCGATCCACGCTGCTTTATGTATCAGAAACGTGACTTCTCCGTTCAGAGGACGCATGGTAGGTGTCAGTGGTAGGCCATCGGTTTTTGTGAAACATTAACCAGGTCTGGGAGGATTATCCGACTAACAGTAGTGAGGTGCATCATAAGATTTCAGGAAAAAGGAATTCTCCAAAAATAGATGAGCTACTCATACATTATAGGTTATGCTGGTTGAGACCCTCTGTCACGCACATCTTTTTTCCACCAGCCCTGTGCTGAGTGGAAGCCCTCGAGAGGTTATTAGTTTATGGTCTGGGAATGGGGCACGAAAGCATTAACCAGAAAACTCCGTCGGCTTTAAAACTGCAGTCTTCGTGAATAAGGATCCTGGGAATCAACTTATCAAAGGCTAATGACCCTGTCATAGATGGCTCAGTTACGCGGTCACTGTGGCTTGTGGATCAAAGCCATCGCCATCAATGCATTGTTATTCCCAGTTCCTTCAGAGCAATATACAGTGCTAAACATCTGATTATGCCATCACCTCTAACGTTTTGGTATATCATCCCCGTTCTCCCATTCCCCGTGGATCGAAACCGTAGTAGCTAGAACCAACGTAACTTTGGTACATGGTTCACAGCTGATAAACTGGAATGAACTGGGAGAACGATAAATATCTAGTTCGTTATGGAGCGCAATTCAGACGTGCTGACCACTCAACCTTTTGCGGTTTGTTACGTTGGAAACCCTTTCCAGTTAGCTGCGGGGGTCAGAATTGCCCTGCACAGAAAGAATTTCGGTTAGCCTTGGATACAAAACACCGGGAAACAAGTGGGTTTTTATGGGTCCGGCCTTGTGCATATCGATCACAATACAGCATAACTACTATGTGCGCTGCGTCAGACAACCAATGTCCTGTACTACCAAGTTCGGAACCCGCCGCAACAATTCCCAGAACGTGATCTGAGTGAACAACGGCGACTTTCACTGGCCATAACTTCATGGTCAATCCCTCGCTAACAAATGGGGTCCACTCTTAAAAGGGAAAAAATTCCCATCTCATCTATCACTCAAGGGATCTCCGTTAGAATAACTACCAGATACAGGGGGTTGTCCATTGAACGTAGTCAACTGCAAAAACAATTACTCATGTGCACCAGAGTTAGAGAAAAATTTCCAAACTGTCTCTCTACAGCAGTCTGGAGATGTAGGCGGGGACGGCATTTAAATATACACCTACCGTGAAACCTACATGCTATGTAGGAATAAAACGTTTTCGGCAAAAATTCGTGCTAAAGCCCCTCTTCACAAACGACCAAGAAATGCAATAACATTTAGACTGACTACAGATATGGACTCACCACTTTATAATTACCTCCATTGTCTAACGTGGGCTGAGAGAGCTTCCGGGCATGCATAATTTCTTCAAGCGGATTTATCTTCTTGTAGGCGGACGACTACATCACAAAACCAAACAAAACGAGTATCGTCAAATATGTGAGGTCAGACGAACACACGCGGAAGGTAAAATATGCTATCACAGTCAACGCCGAAATCAGCCGACAACAAAGTAAGATGACCCCAAATGGAATGCAATGAAGTGTAGTGATCGCTTATAGCTAGTTATGTGAAGTGGACCGTCCAATGCCCCAATGTGAGCTGTTATGCCCCTACAACCGCTGAATCTTCTCTAATATTTTGTCACCCAAAATGATGAACTATAAATCTGCTAATGCTCAGTTGTTGTCACATTACATTATGTTGGAAAACACGATAATTTAACCAATTATCCATCCATAACCAATGGAAAATACGAAGTACACGGAAAGCTCCGTAATGCCGATCTCATTTCCATTTAATTTGACTACGGGGGTAACCGACACTGTGATGCTGGAGTTTTCAGTGTACTAATCGACAAAATACGTCAGTAAGCCATTTTCACGTGGGTGATATAGTGGAGGGAATGCACCGTGCTTCGGTATACTTGGTCGGTATGTTCGAGCCTAAACAGCTGCCATTGTTGACTGCCACAAACAAAATCAACGAACGGTAGCTTTTGTGAATATAACAATATGCGTTCTATCCCAAAGCATGCAGACATATGAAGCAGTATGGGTTGGTGAATTGCATGCAGACTATGAGGCAGTACGGGTTGGTGAATTTCAACGTACTAAAATATCTTGGCGGAGATGGATCCATATCCATCCAGCTTTTCCCAAACCCATAAGCGTAGCAGTGTACCTTCATTTCCAACACCTATTTTGTCCAAAATTCTTGAATCATCATCATCATCATCAATGACAGCAACATCAGTGTTGGCACTGATGCTTCACTGCCGTACAACCATAAAGTTCGTTTAGTTATATACATATATATATATATATATATAATTGTATTAAAAGCCCTACAGTGAAGAGAAAAGAAAAAGAGTGGGTGAGGGAGGGGACCTAGTGCTGGCCTATGTCA